TTTCCTTTCCTTTCCTTTCCTTTCCTTTCCTTTCCTTTCCTTTCCTTCCCTTCCCTTCCCTTCCCTTCCCTTCCCTTCTCAGATTGCTGGGGACAAGAGGCTGACTCTGTAAATCACTTTAGAGAGGGCTGTAAAGCACCATGAAGAGGTATATAAGTCTAAGGTTATTGCTGTGGCTATTGCTAAAATGCATGGGGGAAAGCTGGACTTGCTTACTTAATGGTTGATTTAAATGATTCACTTAATGACCATAGGAAAAAAGGTCTCGTGCTGAATGCCTCATTCAGTGGTAAAAGTTCCAGTCGAAATTTTGATCATAAGTCAAGGACTAACTGTATTATTTTCCACAGAGAAAATAATGTCACTTGACTATCTAAGGCTGTTAAAACTCTTACTACAATCCCAGAGTCGAGCAAACCTTAAACCCACAATATTAATCATCTTCACCAAAATCTAATTGTAACCTTCATCTTATGGGATAATTAATTACATCCCAAAGCTGTAAGAAGCTCATTAGTTTTTAAGGCGCCAGTGAATCTTTATTTTCTTAAAAATCTGTCAGACGGCTTCTTCTTCTTCTTCTTCTGCTTAATGTGAGGATTTTATCATTTATGTTAAGAAAGGCAATCTTGGAATAAAAATAGAATATAGGTTTTCCAAGGGGAGGAAGAAAAGAATAGAAATTTGCATCATTTCCCTCTTGTCTTTTTATAACTTAGTCCCACAAGGAGGGGATAGTGTGAACTTGGGTTAGGTGAAGCTCATCTTCAATAAAGTTTTCATCTGTGGAAGCATCCAAAATATCTGACTACCCTTTTCCATGGAGAGAATAACCCTGTAAATAAGACCACCGTGATAAGGAAAACCATGACATAGTGAGAAAAATCAATAACATGATCTTTTGAAGAACTCTCCTTGGTTTATAAAATATCTAATTGTGGATATTACAACATTTTTACTGTGGATTAGAGACCGAACATTATTTTTCTCTTGTTCTTGTGAAGGGAGCAAATCAAAGGCAAACCTTTCTGTACTTGGATCAGGACGAAAATTTAATTTTTCTTAGAAGCAACTCGATGCATTTATTCAGTGTAGAGAATTTATAGCTTTTAGCTTGGTTGCTGGTTCCCATTGCTGAAAATGGCAAGACTTTTTTTTTTTTAAAAAAAAAACCCATCTGCTTGCTTGAAAGCTTCCAATGTCAAGCTGTGAATATTTAATTTCTGTGCAATCAAGTCCCACTTTTTATTCTGCATTTGAATTCTGCCCTCCAGGGTGACAGCTTCCTCTAGTGCCTGCCAAAAATATCTTATCATAGCTGCGTATCAACCCCAGCAATTCATCTTTTTAAAAAATAAACGATAGTGCAGTGAGCTGAACGCTAATTTAAACCAGGGTTTCTCAACTTCAGCGAATTTAAACCCCAGGAGCGTCCTCCTTGTCACCGTGGCCACCAATTGAGTCATCTTCTGAGTTGTCCTTCAGCCTTTCCTGCCCTTGAAAATGGATTGATCCCTGCCTTGCACAGAACAAGCTTCCAACTAGGAGAGGTCGAAAAGTCGTGTCTTCCTCTCCTCTTCCTGTCCTACCTGCTGGAATGTTTAAGAAGATAATCCTGGGACCTTTTATCCTCTATTTGCAATGATGGGCAACCTTCATCGGCTGGTCCTGTTGCTAACATCTGGATGGTTCATCCTAGACTGCACAACCACTTCATATTTTGTGGGGTGACAGTTCATTAGCATGGGTCAAAATAATCAGTGATACGTGTAGATTGGAGGTCTGGCTAGAGTGTTAAAATTGTATGGTTTTATTTGTTTTAATCACCGCTAAGGAATGCTGAGAGGGCCGAGAATGGTCCCCTATTCAGGAAAAGCATTTGCTGATATTCCATCGCTGTATGTTGCACTCCCGCGCCATCTAGCGAGCTAATCCTGGAGCTACTCCAGTAAGATACACGGTCCTGACCTAAGGGGACTTTTCAAACTTTGGGATCTTATGAAAGTTGCTTTCCGGCTTGCTTTTTTTTTTTTTTTTTGCCTCTCAGGGAGAATTTCAGACTAGAAACCATTTGTCATTTGGTAGCCAGGTTATGCCTGGGCAATATTGGCTTTCCAGCAACTGCGTTTAACTTGAAGCTCTCAGCCTCAAAAAAGGCAAAGTCAATGAAATGCATAAGCTGCACACACAGAGGTGACTTTGCAAGGCCTCGTATTTCCTCCAGTTGGAACCAAAAGATGACCCAACACCAAATCCAGAAAGTGAGCTGGCTCTCAGGTTGCTTCCCCTTTGGTTTCACTCTACGGTTTCATCTTTAAAAAAACAAAAACCCTTTACTCGTCTAATTCCTATTGCATTTGTCTAAATGGGTCTGAAAAGTGGCAGGTCGATTCCTTTCTGTTGTAGCAATGGTATTTCCCCCCGATTTCTTGTCCCCCAAAGCCTCACTGGTGATCCTATTTTATTACATCTTAAATCCTAATTTAGAAGTAGATTTTTTAGGAGCAGGAGGAGAAAGTGAGCCTTGGTGGGGGAAGGTTTTTCTAAATAATAATCTCTAGAAGACCACAGTCTTGGGATTCGGATACTAGGCTTTGAGATGCTAGAAAACTTCATCTAGTTGAAAACCTTATATCCTAAATTATGAAAGTCATATAGGCTGAAGTAGGAGGGAAAATGTACAAGATAGGTTTAGGAAAAAAACTATATATTGGAAATAAATTTTAATACAATATTGATTTTTAAAAAAACCTCCATTTTCCTATGGCCATCATCTCTGAAGAACTTTCCCCCTTCTAATATGAAACGTGGAGAAGACTTTCCAAGATCAATGGTAATGGATTTGTCAGAAATGATGGAGGGTCTCCTGCTTAGGCGGTGGGTTGGACTAGATGACCTACAAGGTCCCTTCCAACTTTGAGTATCTGAAGATAGGTGCATGAACTAAAAAACTAGAAATCGTTTTTCTTCCCGGAAAACTCTGGTTGGTTTGGTTTTTTAAACTAAATGTCGGAGCCGTTGCATTTGCACCGCTGACTTTTCTTTTGGGTGCATGGCTGTTCTCTGGCAACGTGGGGGCGACTGCCTGGTGTCCATTTTAGCTCACCTTCTCGCCTGTTCCTCTTCTTCTCTTGCCAAGGGGCCTCGCTCCCCAGAACAAGCCAGAGCTTCAGAAAGTGATGGAGAGACGGAAAAGGGACCAGGTTTTCAAGCAGAAGGAAGAGGAGGCCCAGAAGAAGAAGTCAGACTTGGAAATCGAGCTTCTCAAGCGACAACAGAAATTGGAACAAGTAAGAGGGGAGAGAAGGGGTATCATCGGTCAGTGGTGGGATTCAGATTGTTTTACTATCAGTCCTGTGGGCGTAGTTTTGTGGGCGTGGCTTGGTGGGCGTGGCAGGGGAAGGATATACTGCAAAATCCCCCTTCCCTCCTCACCCCACTAACCTGCTTTCCAGCTCCGTTCTCCTGGGCAGGGCAACCAAAGGAGACCCAGCCAATCAGCTGGGACTCGATGGGAGGCGGAGAAGAGATGGGGTTGGCGGGGCCAGTCAGAGGTGGGATTGGCCGGTTCTCCAAACTACTTAAAATTTCCGCTACCGGTTCTCCAGAACCGGCTCAGTACCACCTCTTTGTAGCTCTTCTCTGCACTCTTTCTAGAGTCTCAACTTCTTCCTTACATTGTGACAACCAAAACCGGATGGAGGTTTCCAAGGGTGGCCTTATCAAGTGGTATCAACACTTCACGTGATCTTGATCCTATCCCCTCTGTTTATGCAGCCTAGAACTGTGTTGGCTTTTTTGGCAGCCGCTGCACGCAGCTGCCTCCTATTTCAATGGTTGTTCAGTAGGACTCCGAGATCCTTATCGCCGTTACTACTATGTCTTCCCTTTGGGTTTTGAAAGAATTTTGAGCTATTTTGAGGTCTCCGATTCCTCCCTTCCTTATGGGCCCGACTCCTGGAGAGACAGAAAAGATCGTCTCTTCCTTTTCTTAAAATCTACCCGTCCGTCTTTTCTTTCTAGCTTGAACTTGAGAAGCAGAAGATCCAGGAGGAACAAGAAAACGCGCCTGAATTTGTCAAGGTCAAAGGCAACTTGAGAAGAACGGCCCAGGAATCCTCAGAGGCTCCCAACTCCTAGAGGACGAAACTTCTCCTAAGACTTGAAGCTGCAGCTCCGGTGGGCCTTGGGGTGGGGGTGGGGGTGGGGTAAAGACTTCTGCAAGGCACCTGTGCCCCGGAGTGGACGCAAAACATGGTCAATACAAGGTCAATTTCTAGATCCTGTTTTGAAAGGACGACTGCTTAGAAGTCCAAACTTGCCAGTAATAATACGAAGATCAGCGGGCAAACAAGCAACATGCTTTTTCCTACCCAAGCTAAGACGGGAAACCTATTTTGAGGGGCTGGGTTGCTTGTTTACTCCTGATCGTGCTTACGTGAGCATCTCAGGCTAGTATGTCTGCATTTTGTTTCCCTTCTCCTTATTCCTACTTTGTGGAATTCTGCTATGCAGAAGAAAAACAAGAACAAAGTGCTTTGAGACCACTTTTTGAGTTCTATTCTGGGTGGGAACTTGGCTTCAGGAATGGAGCTGGCCACTCAGATATTTTGTGTAAATAGAAAGTCCTTTAGACTTGAAGCTGGATTTCCCCCCATCTATCTCTAAGTAGGCAGGACAGACCGCCACAGCTCTGAGGAAGGAAGAAAGAGAGACAAATGCAATATTCCCGGTCATTAGATGGCTAAAATATATTCTCAACCACTTCTGGGGCTGTAAGGAAATGGATATTTTTGCAATTCAACCAATAGTGTGACTAAACTCTCTTTTTTTTGCCCTCTCTCTCCAATCCAACCTTGGTAACAACGCTGTATTCTTTATCATTGATTCCTCTGACAAATGCTGTGGTTGCTAGGTCTACATTGCAGCGGATGTTTACTTGCAACAGGATTTCCAAACTATATATTTGGATTTCTGAGTCTCACCTGTTTTGCTTCTGACCCCGAGTTTGCGAACATTTTATGGGTCAGCCTGAGAACTTAAAAGTCAAAGAAGAAGCAACAAACCCTAAAAATGCATTCTGGTGCATCGTTTCTCATGTAGATTTATTACTTTCTTTTAAGATTAACAAACCCAGGCAAGTTTGGAATAATATTGTCAGAGCTTGACCAGGGAGTAGAAGTTTTTTTTTTTAAATGAAATTTTCTTTATTTTCTTTCTTCTCCATGAAATCCGGTTGCATTTCCACCTGGAGGGAAGCCCATTAATGCCAGAGAAATTTACTTCTCGACAAATGGAAATCAGACTGTAGATTAATTTATCTCGATATATATATATATATACATATCATTTTTAATTGTCCACATCCAATTCTTATCTCATTCCTGTTTTCAACTAGTAAGAATTCCAGTGAGCGGCCGGGACAAAAAAATATGGATTTCCAGGAAAAAATCTCAGGCTGGGACTTTTCTCCAACAGTCCTGAGCTCCAATTTGTCCAGTGGCATCTCTAGTAGAGGAGTCCAAAAAAATTCAAGATGGCAGCCGTGACCGAAGCCCCTCCCTCCTTTTTTGCATGGGACCAAAGGAGCACAGCGCTGATCACATCGTTTCAGCCGCCATTTTGAATTTTTAAAAACTCTTCCCCCCCCGCCCCACCAAACAATCCTGAATTGGCTCCAAGATTTTGTCCAATGTTCCTAATGGATTCAACCATCTTTTAAAATGACCTCTTGATCGTTGATCCTTTGTAAGAATTCAGAGAGCAAGCCATAGTTTCCTATAGATTTTTTTAGTGGGGGGGGGGGGAAACTTCAGGCAATCCAGCTCTTTGCTGGCTGAGTTTTGTGGGGTGTTGATGAGATTTTAATACAGTCCATCAGGAAAACATAATTTGGGAATGCTAAGCCTCTTAGGTCATCCGTGACACTTGATACCAAGGTGGTATTTTATTTTATTTTATTTTTTTAAAAAACCTTCGTTTCAGAAAACCCCTGAACCTTGGACCCAGGCATTGCAGAAACAAAGCGAACCTGGATAGGGAGAACTTCTAACAAGGGTGACCAGGGTAGCCTAACCTTGATTTTAGTTGTCACACGTGTGTGTTGCTTCTTGCACTTGTTCATTGGGGTATATGGATGGCTGGGAACCCTCTACGCTAGCTCTCTTTCGTGATCACAATAGGTAGGTAGAAAATTAGCAGTACAAAAATAACTCCTTTATATAGGACCAGGTCTATTTCATGTTCCTGTTACAGCCAAGCAAAATCCTTTACATCAGTTGATGACGTATTTCATCTTTGCTGAAGGCATTAGAAATATGCAAAACCCTTTCAGCCCCATTTCTTGCAACTGACAGCAAACAATCTTTGGGGTGAAGTTTCCCAAGCTTCCTGCATTCCGGATTTTGCAAATAAAAAAATCACATTATCCATCCCAGCCCATGAGAAAAAAAGGGTTTCTGGGAGATATCACTTACTTCTAATTTAAACCTTGACACAAGTTACTTTTATCACTGACTTGGATTTATAGGGTTGTGTCTTTTTTAGAATGACACATTTAAAGGGCTTGAGAGAATGTGTGTGTGTGTGCGTGCCCTGGTGGATGGCTTTGCCACATGAAGGGGGAATGGGAGAGGTTGACTTTTGAGAAGGTGGGTTTTTCTTGCCACACCGACAGGTGACCAATTCTAGCTTTAATTTCTTCTTTTGGGACCAGAAGGGATGAGATTGTATGCCATTAACCACTAACTTTCCCCTTCTCTACATGAACTTGGGTCACTGCAGCAAGAGTTTGGAGGTGGTGGTAATTCTGCTAGCACTGTGGATTTTCTTCCGGGAAAGGATTACTTGCCTTAATGGATCCACCCACTCCTGTGTCTTTCTCAAGCTGTGCCATTTAATCCACCCCTTCAAGTTCTAGAGATTCCACTTCCATAGCCACCTTCTGGCTCAGTGGGCATCAAGGAATTCACAACATAACCCCCAAGGAGTGTTTGACCCCCCACAGTCCTTTGCATATTGTAGTCTTCTTCAACTTCCTTGAAACCGGACTGTCTGCTGAACGAACGTAAATTTGCTCCTGCTTTAGTGATGAATAAAATAGACTGAATTTTTAAAGAGGTTTCCTAAAACAACGGAAAAATTTGATTTGCAGAACACCAGTCGTAGGGAAAAGGGTAGCAAGCGGTGTTCCTCTAGCAGAATGTAATATTTTGGGGGTCATCGAAGGCCACTGCGAAAATTTATATTTCTGTTTTGCACAGGAATCCAGAATTTTGTTTTGAGTCGCTACGACAACACCCAAACCATCATTAAGCCAGTTTTTGACAAACACTTTTTGGCATTGTTCAGCACTCTTTATTATCCGTCAAGATTGTGATGACGGCTTTCCCATTTTTTTTTTTTCAGAAGCGTCCCTGGATATCTTCCGCTGAGCTATTTTAATTTAAAAGTGACATTGTCTCCTTTTAGAAATGTTGTCTTTCTGAATGTTTTTAAGAGGTGTTAGCTGGTTAACGTGGCAAATTAGCGTTGCCTCCCAATGCTCTAGGTTAGGCGATTCTTTCATGTCTTTACTTGTTTCCCAGTGTACATATATAAATATGAAAAAGGGAGCCTTAAGGGGATTTGTTTTCATAATTTAATATTTTTTGTATTTTGCTCTTGCCTACTTGTTTTTAACAAAGTGTTACGAAAATGAGGGTGGAATTCTTAGAACCAAAGTTACTACTTAATAAAAATGTATTACCTGCTTGGAACATGCAGTGGTCTGATGGTGTGGCCTCCATCTCTGTGGTGTCTAATCTTTTGTCACTTTAAACTGTATTATTATTATTATTATTATTTGCTCTTCTAATGGGAAATGATTTCTGAATCTTGTGCACAAGCAAGGAGCCACCGCTAAGCAACGTATTGGTTTTTTTAAATAAAAATTATTTCATTACTTCCAAAACGGTTAAAGCATGGCAACTGGAACAAAGTGTGTTAATCTGAGGTTAACCAACAAGTCATTTCATCAGTCAAAATAAAAATTGCGGGGGGAAAATGCTTTTTGACTGATGAATTTAGACTGGAGAGCTACTTGTCTGAAATGATACAGGGCCGTGATGGCCAACCCAGCTCAGCTCCACTGTGCATGCGCGCACACCTCCTGCCAGCCATGCAACCCACGTTGCTCCCTTCTCCTTTCCTCCCTGCGTGCCCTAGGATGAAGAGGGGTGGGCCTGGGTCTTCCTCCGAATTCCCTCTCCCTTGTTCTACCTCTCCCCTGCTCTGCCCAGATGGATTTTGCCCTCCCCCAGTTTCTTCCACAGCCAACGGAGCCACACTCCCACTCCCTGTCAGCTGAGCGGCCTCCCCCTCCGTATCAGCTTCCAACAGGGGCATGACACCAGTGTTTCATGACCCAACTAGGTAACTTGGTGCTAGAAGGGAGGAGGGTTTGTGGGGTGAGGAGGGTGAGGAGGACTGTGAAGTCTTTAATACTCTCTCTGAGCTTGGTTGTTTTCTTGGAGATATTTCATGACCCAACCAGGTAACATCATCAGTGCTAAAAGGGAGTGGGATTTATTTCTAATTCTGGTCGTAGGTCATGGACTAGCTATATCTGCAACCACCAGGACTAGAAGCATGCATAACTATTAAAAATTAATTGCCGCATCCAAGTATATCTCCTCTGCAACCACGAAGCATGAAATGTTTGTCCTTAAAGCGGCTGAATATTAGTAAGATTTTAAAGGGCTTCGTGAAATTCATTTGAGGCTACAAGTTGTATCCCTTGCAATTTATCTGGCTACAATAGGATGATGATTAGAACATCTTCAAGAATCTGGTTTTGCCTGCCAATCTTGTAAAATTCCATGCTTCCATCCTGGATATTTTTCCTTGTACAGGATGTTGCATTTAATGCTGACCTAAACATTCCTTCAGGTGCTGATTTAAAATTGAACAAAAGGGTTTTGGATGGAGAGACCAATCTAAAAAAAAAAAGGTTGCACCAAGCTTTTTTAAAGTATGTGTGCGAGTATAAAATGTGCAAGACAATCAGAAATTGAAATATGGGACTTGTGTTCTCAGGTTGTCTTCTTAACACTCTCAAGGCTGTTTTCTGTTTCCCTGTTCAAATGACAAGACAGAATAATATGTTCAAAGAGGACAATATTTTGCTTCTGACAACTGTTCTATTAATATGGACAAGTTTTGCACCATGTTTTAAAAATTAGAACAGTTAGGTTCAGTATTCCTCAAATATAGGTCAACTCATGCCAGCATGTAATCCTGTTTTACAGATACAAAATAAAATTAATTCTTCCCCAAACCCCTCTCTCTCTCTCTTTCTCTCTCTCCCCCTCCCTCCCTCCTTCTCTAAAAAAATCTTATCTGACCCTAAATGGTTTTGCTTGTGATGTTGCTTGTACAAAGTCTTCAGATGGCACCCACCAATCTTATTAATATGAACAATTAAAAACACAATCTAAGACAGAATTTCGTGAAAGGGTGCCATTTTCTCAAGATGTCTTGTTCTTGAAGAACGATATGCAGTATGACAAATTGTAATTGTTTAAAAATGTGCAGCAGTAATACTGGGATTTGCTGAGATGCTGTCTGATCCTAGAGGAGATGAATTCAGATCCCACTGTAGGCACGAAAGCCATCTAGGTGACCTTGAGCCAATCACCAGGAAACAGCGACTTCTAGTCCTGCCTTAGGCATGAAAGCTGGCTGTGTGATTTAGGGCCTATCACCAGGAGTCCGTGAGCTCTAGTTCCACCTTGGACATAAAAGCCAGCTATGTGACTTTGGCCTCCTTCCTTTAAGCTCTGTTGTGGTCGTAACTCAGGGACTACCCTGAACAAGCCAGCCAACCAAGCAGAAGAAATAGGCGAACTTTTAGCTAACCAACATATGCAGGAAACACACCACAGTAGTAATGGGGGATTTTTAACTACCCTGACCTCAACTGGGAGACAAATTCTGGATCAAATGGGAGATCAAACAGATTCCTGATCAACCTAGCTAACTTCCATCACCCAAAAGGTAGAGGTGGCAACTAGGATAACTATACTGGACCTTATTCCTACCAACTGAGAAGAAGTGATCGAGGGAATTGAAGTCACAAGAACTTTAGGGGAGAGTGACCAGGTCATATTAGGATTCAGTATAACAAAACATAATCAAACCAGTGTTTTAGATTTTAAAAGAGCTGATTTTAACCAACTCAGAACTTGGGAAGGATCCCATGGATGAAAAATGTTCAAAGGGAAATCATTTCAAGAAGCTTGGCAAACTCTGAAAAAAATATGATGATAAAAGCCCAGCCTAGTTCAGTTTCACTTCTGGAGAAGAGGGGTCATTAACCTAAGTGTGAAGGCTATGGCTGAAAAGTGTAAGATGGCCTTTAAGGTTCTCCCGTAGCAAGAGAAAGGAAGAGGGAATGAGAAACCATTGTGGGATTAGTTTATTAACCATGCCTAGGAAGGTATTTCTCGTAATTCAGACTGAAAGGGCAGGAGAAGAGAGACCGCAAACATTTGCGCTGTGCAACGTAGCTGTATAAAGAGCAGGGATGGGCAAACCAAATTTTATTTCTAGCCCCCGAGGCTTAGATGGAATACAAATCTTTGTAATAAAATGTTTCATAAAGTGAATTGATTTGAATTATGAATGACTCGCATAAGTGTGGAGTTGAAGGTTGATTGCTGAAGGTGATAAGAGCAGAACATGATGAAATGGAAGCAGGCAGCCAAATTAATGGAATGTTTAATAAATGGTTCTACACCTACCAGGGAGAATGTGAAGAATGTTCTCGTGTTGTCTTGATTGAAAATGTTTCTTTCTGCAAAAAGAAATGTGAGAAGTTAGAATAACTAAACAAAAGAAATATATGAATTGGGGGGAAAAGCCAACACAGCCCTAACACTGCATTAATAGAAGGATAGAATCAAGATCATGTGAAATGTTAATACCACTTTATAATGCCTTGGTAAGACCACACTTGGAATATTACATCCAATTTTGGTCACCACACTATAAAAAAAGATGTTGAGACTCTGGAAAGAGGGCAGAGAAGAGCAACCAGGAGGATGAGGCGACTGGAAGCTAAAATATATGAAGAATGGTTGCAGGAATTGGGCCTGGCTAGTGTAGTGAAGAGAAGGACCAGGGGAGACGGGATGGCAGTCTTCCAATGTTTGAGGGGCTGCCACAGAGAGGAGGGGGTCCACTATTCTCCAAAGCCCCAGAAGGCAGGACAAGAAGCAACAGATGGAAACTAATCAAGGAGAGAACCAACCTAGAACTCAGGAGAAATTTCCTAACAGGGAGGACAATTAACCAATGGAACAGAAGTTGCCTTCAGAAGTTGTGTCTGCTCCATCACTGGAGGCTTTTAAGAAGAGTCTGGACAGCCACTTG